AATAAAAAGCTCAGTAATCTTACTGACCCATAAATCCATAACTACATAATGAAAAAACTTTTTAACCTAAGCTCCATAACTTTCAAGTCACTTCACCTTGTCTCACAGCGCATCAAATGATTAAAATTACCCCTATTCCTCCCAATATCATTGCAGCAAATAATACCTTATCTACTCATATTGTCACCATTTAAAGATTTCACACCTACACCACACCTCTTCAATTAACTAAATTATGGTATTTTTAAGCATATGAGAATGCTATACATACATACTATCTCGTGCACAATGCTTGCACTAATTACTACACTGTTGAAATCCACTCTACGCATGCGCATAACCGAGACGACTCAAAACTGACCACTTGTCAGCTATTCAAAGATATCTCGAAAATTTCACTCTCCACATTATTGAATTGCTTAATTTGGGCACATTTCTCAAGTGACAGTTTCGCAGCAATAAAATTACTTGAAATATTACAAATAGTCGTAGTAGAGCGTTTTGGGTTTTAATTTTCGTAACGCCATTAGCATTTCTTTACAATCTTCAACATGAAATCTAATAATAAAGGTATTAATCGGCTCGCTGACGGAATATGCACGTACCCACACTTCACTTCATGTCATGTCGCTCAACGGCCAGCATTGACTTTCAAGCCCGAAATCCAATCGGCTAAGCTGCCCAAAAGGGGCGTACGCTGTTGACACCGCTGCCGTCATTGCTATTGTTGTAGTTGTCAGAGCATTTGCAATAGACAGTTCAATGCATTGATGGAGTGCGGTTTAATTTAGCTCGTCGCCCACAAAGTGTTAAGTCAGTAAATAAATAAATCGGTTTTCCTAAAAGCGGTTCAACACTTTTGCTTCATTTGAGTGGTTCGAGATTTCAATTTCTATTCAAATTGAAATTGAAAGTGTTTGCCAACAAATTATTGCTACATTAAATCCCAGATGAATTTGTATTATTTGCATTTTTTCACTTCTTTACATATTTTGATGAACATTTTATTTGTGGCGTGGGCGCTTGAAGGTGTCGTATTGTCAACAGTTTGTCAATATTACCAATATTTCGATTTTAGTTCCCTGCCAGTTTGTTGATAAGAAATGCATTTGTCGTGCCTGTGGTTGTCTAAATATGTATGTGCGCGTGAGTGCTTAAACCTGTTCGGTTGAATAGAGCGTGACTGCATGTGAATGGCGTGAGAAGAAAAAATGCTGGAAATAAAAAAGAAAATAAAAACTATTTTATTTTTAAGAAATATAATAAAAATTGTTTTCCCATACTATATATCTAAATTATTTCGTTTGATTTTCGGCAACATTCGTGTATATATTCTTATTCTGATTGGCTCTCTCATTGACTAAGTGAAATTGGAAAAGGTCGCTAGTTATTTATGCACTACACAAGGACCTAACTCCAAACAGAACCCACTCATTTTTTGCAAAGGAGGGGAGATTTTCCAGTCTTTTTCACCGTTGCCGCATCATAAAATTCATACGGCTCATCGTTTCATGCGATATTCGCTGTTGCCAACGAATAAGAGTCTTTCCAGTACTACGTCGTATATATTATCGATCATCAGGATCAAGTACCTGTTTTTATTTAAATTCTCAAGATTAACGTGTCTTCGGTTTTTTATCGTGCTTAGTTGCACAATATTATTGACTATTTCGAAGTTTTGAGTGCCAAGAAAGGTGTGAAAGAGCATTGTCTGTCTATTTGATGACAGAAAATATTCCCACTGATACTCATTTCCTACCAAACCCTCTGGCAATTCTTTGAACCAATTCAGAATAAAAGAATGGCGCCATTGTCTAGCCTTTAATAAGAAATGATAAGACAAATATACTTAGGTCATATATATTTGGCCCATTGTCATATCATAATAATTTTGTCGCCTTCTAGAACTTATGCCAACGATTTTTCCAGTCCTAAGCACTTTTCGAGGTATTCTTCAGCGAATTTTGTTATGTCTCTTTGATCGGGTGAAAATAGGTTCCATGAAGCGGCAATTTCATTTTTTTTTAAAGATAAAATCACATGAAGCCCATTCTAGTGAGTACGATGGTTGATCGATGGAATTCATGGCGATTTTGGCTTTAAATTCGGTCACAGTCATACTCTTTTTGAAAAAAATACAGCCTTATCGGGATGAGACGAGCAAGAACGCGTTTCACAACCAAAATATCAAAATCTTTTTAACGGACTTGCGACAGATCTCGAGCTCTCTTATCAAATCTCTAATAGTTGTCTAACGATATCCAAGCACCTTATCGTTCACTTTTTTACTATTTCCATCAGTTGAAGAGATCGAGTCCAGAACAAGACATGTTTTCAACGATCTCGACCGTTTTTGAAGGCTTTGTACCACACGTAGGCTTATGTTTTTGATAAAATGAATCACCGTAAGCCTTTTCCAACATTTGCGAAGATTTTGCACATGAAATTTAGTTAGAAATTCAAAATTTAGACAAATTCTTTGTTTGATATTTTTATCCATTGTAAAAACTGCAACTCACTACTGAGGTGTATCAACTTAAGCATCTGCTTGTAACAGACTGGTTGACAGATTGCGCTCATATTTGCCATAGTAATTAAGGACAATCCTACCAACTTAGCAAAATACATTTTTTTAAATATCATTTTTTGCCACAATATATGTATATATGCGGAGCATACATACGTCGCGTATGAGTAACATTCGAATGTTGACCAACACAAAACCTAAATTTCTAGAAAAAACAGGCACAACTATTCTAATATTATACTTGAATTTTTTAACCATGAAAATTGAGAATGTTTCACACACAAAATTTAACATATACATATATAGATATATACGCTTTAGATGCACACTCAAATGCTTAGTTCATAAAAATATAGTATAAAAAACATGGGTGCGCGCATTATTAGACGTAGATACATTACTATGTACATATACGTATTTTTGTATGCCTGCGTATGCGTAATAATATGAAAACAATTTCGTCTGCAATAATTCGACAATGTACCCAATTTTAAATGGACCGCATCCGCGAAGAGTCACACTCACCTCCGTGGTGCGTATGCGTTACATTGTTACCGCTACTGTCGTTCGCTTGGTCATCAGCCCCGCCTGAGGATGACACAGCGCTTGCCAATTGCAATGGCAAATATCCAATTCACTGATGCCGGTGCTCGACACTGTCTTTTTCTGTTTTGTGTCTTTATTTATACGCTCATATATTTAGTTAAGCCGTTTATTTGGGATTTTTCAAATATCTAACGCACAAGCGGGCAAATAAAAAATGCAAGTGTGTATTTCTTCAGATAATCGTAGCCATATACTATTTGTGTGAATGCACTTATCTACAAGAAATTGATATCTATAAAAGTATATAGAAAAGTACAACGTGTATATATATATATGGATATATAATTATAATATATGCATATAGTATTATCCGTTTAATTAGAACCCAAAATAGTTTTTTTAGTTATCAAGGGTATCCTAGTGCCCCACCACCTACTTTTGGAATTGTCCAAAAAGACTTTTATCCTTTAGATATATAACTTCGACAATTCTTAATAGTTTCAGTATTTTTTTAACTTCATATTCGCCTAATTTCAATATGTAAATAAATGTATTAACTCCAACAACAACTTCAGCCTCGAAATAAAACGCAGAATAACTCTTACCAACAGTTGCTACTTAGAACTGAGTAGAGAATTGAGAAGTAAAGCCTGATGAGTCGGCCTTTCGAGAGAAAGGTTCTGTGTAAGATTTATGGCTCATTGGCAGCGGCGAATAACGCATTCGATAGAACAATGGGCTATGTGAGTTATACGACGGCATTGACAAAGTTCAGCGAAATAACAGGCAGCTGTTACGCTGACTTGATCATGTCGTCCGAATGAACGAAAACACTCCAGCTCTGAGAGTATTCGACACAGAACCCGCGGTGGGAAGCAGAGGAAGAGGAAAACCTCCACTCCGTTGGAAAAACCTAATGGAAAAGAACCTGGTTACACTTGGAATCTCCAATTCGCGCCAAACAGTGAAAAGGAAGAACGGCTGGCGCGCTGTTGTAAACTTGGCTATAATCGCGTAAGCGGTGTCTACGCCTTTAAAGAAGAAGAAGATATAAATTTAATATAAAGCAGAATTTTTTTTTTTTAATACTGATTTTATCAAAAATAAAATACTACTACTCAACAGGTCTGAAAAAAGAAATTGCGACTGTTGTGCTAAGAGATCTATGGGGTACTTGAGGTGCCCTGATAACGAATTTGAGTTCATCATTTTTGGTTTTAGTAACCGAAAGAGTCGCTAACATCATAGTCGCAAAATGACTGTAAATTAGTGTAATCATTAAAATGTAAAAATATTCGAGTAGTAAAGAAATTCTTTCTGGAACATCATCCTTCAGAGAAAATGTTTCATAAGTCTTAAAAAATTCATAAAGTAATTTTTTCCTATGATAGAGGAGAGGTTGTGGTTTTCCAGTAGTTTAGAAAGTATTGAGTCATAAGTTCTAATATAAGCTTTATATGGCATATGAATCAAGATTTTTTCTAAATTATTTCCTGTAAGATTTTAACAACATAATAAGGAAAGATAAGGAAATAAATTCAGCCCAATTGAATGAAGCAGAGAACACTGTATGCGTATTTGTAGTAAGTGCAAGCGTCGCACTAGAAAGTGATAGTATTTTCGTTTGCATTGCAACGCGGCGTGTCAACCTAAAAATGCGGCATTCGCAAGCACAAATTCTTTGGTATTTTTGGCATCAAAAGCATTCGCGCTTCGATTTCAACATTAAGATTACGCTAATGGGTTTATTGAGTGAATGTGCTTGCACTCACATCAATACATACATATATTTAATTATAACTAGAATTAAATTATATAATGTTGCTTGGTTTTATTTTTTTAGTACAAATTTAGTATAAGGTTTGCAACACTTTTTATTATGGATTTAAGTTAACTAAAATGTTATTCGTTTTGTTTGTCGTTGCAGCACGCGAACTATGTACGCCAAGCGGCTGAGGATTACTTGGCCCGCCGTCAGGCACGCAACAAATCGATGACGCGCTCAATGACTTCCGGCTCGGCCGGCCCCATTCTCGCCATGGGTAATGTACATTACTTGCCAGCAGCTAAAAGCGGAACATTCTTTTCACGCGACAATGTGTCCAATTTTATAACCTGGTGCAGGTACGATGCAAAATTTCTTTGTTTTTTACAATCAAGGATATCTGTATAAATTTTTTTCTTAAAAATGTTTATAAAAAATAGATAAATATTAAAAAAAATTGTTATCAAAATAAAAGATTCTGCATGAAAAGTGATTCAGCCTTAATAATTGAAAAAGGGGGTTGTGGTTTTCCAGTACTTCCTTTATGAAAAATGAAGCCAAGCATTTTTGAAAAAAGTATTTTTTTCAAAAGGCTGTTATAAAACCTTTTGTACCAAATCTAATATGTTAGTAAACCCTAAAGACTAAACTGTACCATTTGATGATGAGTAAGTTACACATGACTTATTAAAGATGAACACTTTATGAACCAAAAGTATATATCCTTAAAAGATGAAGGTATGAGCTAATTGGAACTTTTCTCGTCATATTTTACAACTCTTCAGACACAGTCAAAGAAGGTTAGGATATTTTGTTATGATCAATATGGTTTTGGAATAGTTTTCAGCGTCTTCAGCACATTTTGTTTTATCTTTTCAACTGAAAACAGATGGGGGAACAAAAATTCACACCGTGCCAAGTCTGCTGCATACGGTGGTTGATCGACGGTATTCATTGCCCTTTTGGCTTTAAATTCGGTCATGATGGTACGTTATCATCATGTAAAATCCATGAATAGTTTTCCCACAGTTCTCAATGCGGACTAATAGGACTCCTTATCGACTCTGCTTGGCTCGTCTTTTTCCCTCTATTCCGGTGATTATTGACTTGTTTGCTTGTCAAACTCATAAACTCATGTCTCATCGACATAATATAATAATAATGCTCTTACTTAATGTAGGATCGAAATTCGCACCATCATGTTCAAAGAGACTTTTTCACGGTGCTCTTTTTGAAAATAATTCAGCTTTATCGGCGCGAGTCATACCCAAAATATCGACCAAACCATTCGAGCGGTATTCAGTTGAAGAGGTCGGAGGTCGTCCAGGAAGAAGAATGTCTTCAACGACCTCTCGATCCTTTTTGAAGGCTTTGTACCATCATAGGCTTAAGTTTTTGATAAAACCTTTTCCAACATTCGCAACAATTTCACACACAAAATTAGATTAGAAATATAAAATTTGAGACAAATTCTTTGCTCGATATTTTTACCCATTGTAAAAATCACAACACAATACTGAGGTGTACCACCTTAAGCAGCTGCTGTAAACAAACTGGTTGATAGATCGCGCTCCTATTTGGCATAGTAATTAAGGAAAGTCCTGTCAGCTTAGCAAAATGCATTTTTTTGAAGTTCTTTTATCCGGGGAATTTAAGTACAATTTATGCGTTTTTGTCACAATATATAATTATTGAAAGAATTCTTACCCCTATACGGAATTATGTAAAAATTGGAAGAACATTTAGGAAAATTATTAATATTTACTAGCAATATTCTTCGTGCTTACAGTATCGAAAGTTTGCATACTCTTTAGCAACATGATCTACTCTTTTTCGGTAAAAGTGAAAGCTCTTTATAATTCTTGCGTTGGCTCTCCTCCACTCTGAATTTAAGAAATGCGTTTGTTAGTGCTGAAGATTTCGGACCCAGCGGTTGCAAGATTATTCAGAAAGGTTCAATGATATATCTCTATCGATTTTATGAAGCAATGATGAAGAATGACCACGTTAACCCATAATGCAGTGTTGGTATTCTTCGTAGTGAGTATCTTAACCCTGGAAGTGCTGTGATAACGATGCCCGTCCGGGGTTGACCATAGGAAAATCAGAGAAAGTGGTAAATTAATAGGAACTCCCCAAAAGCAAAACTTTTTTTACTAAAAAGTGCAGTAGTGATATTCAAAACATAATAGTTTCAAAAATATTTTCGAAAAAAAATTTTATAAAAAAGGAAATACAAGTAGTATGACTTACAACAAAATCAAAATCTTTTCAAATCACCTATTTGCTTAATGATCTTAATTTCTATAACTCCGTTTATTGCGTATTTTTTTCAGGAAAAGCCTTAAGATAATCGAGTGCCTGCTATTCGAAACGGATGATTTGATAATGCGAAAGAACGAGAAACATGTGATCCTTTGTCTATTGGAAGTGGCGCGTCGCGGCGCTAAGTTTGGTGAGTTACAACAACAGGACGTATGTATATTCAGTTCATTTATATTCTATATAATTTGCATAATACTCACGCGTGTATTTTGCAAAAACACACTGGCACACAAACATACATACATACATAGATTGGCAAATGTGAATGGTACATGTGAATAATTGCAACGTATTAAATTAACAGGTATGCTCGCACCCATGCTGGTGCAGATGGAGCGGCAAATCGATCGAGAAATCGCCGCCGACAACAAAGCGAATGGAATTGGGTGTGGCACACAGACAGACAACGCCGATGCGACTGGCACACAAACCGATATCGGCATCAATACCGATAATGTCGCCACAGAAACCGATATGTTCGACAGCGATTCGGAGAATGAGGATGACGAAGATAATAGCCCGATGCTGATGTATGGCCCACAACCGCAAATTATCACCAACGATTTGAAGAGTTTGGATGAGATGGTGAGTCTAACAAACACCTATCCTAAGTATACATTTATGCTGTATAAGTTATGCACGTACATTTTACCTTTAAATAGTTTGATGTAATAAAATTTGCAATGACTTTTTTTTTTAATAATTTGTGCACCAAACCTCAACACGAATTTGCCAAATCTGACAATTTAACTGTCATGTGGCACGCATATCGACATACATATTTACTCGTGTGTACTTGTGTAGGCACATTATTGACAAATTACATAACCAGCGCTACAAATGCATTTGACATGAATTTACAGTTAATTACAAATGAGCAGATAAATGACATGATTACAAATTTTCTGACATTAACTTTGCCATATCGCCATGGCCGTTCGCAAAAAGTCTTCACAGTGAATTGCGCTGCATGTGCTTACATAGAAATACCTGTGCGTTTATGAATAACTGTAATGCTTGAACCATCAGATTACACTTTGACTCGAAGTATGTACGTTTTACGTGTGAGTGTTATGCAATGTGCGTTAGTTACACCGTTAAATTATTTAGAAAGCCACATACATACTTAACACGAAAATCAAAAAAAATTGAGGTTATATTACAGTTGCTTAGAGCACAAATATCTACAAATGTAAAGTGTTTTCAGAAAAGAAATGGGAAAATTATTCAAGTTAGTAAGATGCTACATTAAAAAGATCACGAGAAGATATGCATTTGAAAAAAGTTCTTCCAATAGTAAATAAATAAATAAATTAAGGTGAATCAAAAATTTTGTAAATTTGTCCAGGGAAATTTCCTATTACATACTAAATCTAATACCGCTACATTCATATGTATGTATATATATGGCCTACCAGCAAGAAAAAGTGGTATTAAACTTAAATAAAACAGTCAAATTGGGTTCCTTTTATTGTTTTTGTTATGCAATTTTTATACTCTCGCAACAAAGTTGCTAAAGAGAGTATTATAGTTTTGTTCACATAACGGTTGTTTGTAAGTCCTAAAACTAAAAGAGTCAGATATAGGGTTATATATACCAAAGTGATCAGGGTGACGAGTAGAGTTGAAATCCGGATGTCTGTCTGTCCGTCCGTCCGTGCAAGCTGTAACTTGAGTAAAAATTGAGATATCATGATGAAACTTGGTACACGTATTTCTTGGCTCCATAAGAAGGTTAAGTTCGAAGATGGGCAAAATCGGCTCACTGCCACGCCCACAAAATGGCGGAAACCGAAAACCTATAAAATGTCATAACTAAGCCGTAAATAATATATTAAAGTGAAATTTGGCACAAAGGATCGCATTAGGGAGGGGCATATTTGGACGTAATTTTTTTGGAAAAGTGGGCGTGGCCCCGGCCCCTACTAACTTTTTTGTACATATCTCGAAAACTACTATAGCTATGTCAACCAAACTGTATAGAGTCGTTTCTTTTAGGCATTTCCATATCCAGTTCAAAAATGGAAGAARTCGGACAATAACCACGCCCACCTCCCATACAAAGGTTATGTTGAAAATCACTAAAAGTGCGTTAACCGACTAACATAAAACACTAAATTTTACGGAAGAAATGTCAGAAGGAAGCTGCATCCAGCTTTTTTTTTTTTAATTGAAAATGGGCGTGGCGTCGCCCACTTATAGACCAAAAACCATATCTCAGGAAGTACTCAACCGATTTCAATGAAATTCGGTATATAATATTTTCTTAACACCGCGATGACATGTACCAAATATGGGTGAAATCGGTTCACAACCACGCCTGAAATCTCGATTATCACTTTATCATGCGAGAGTATAAAATGTTCGGTGACACCCGAACTTAGCTCTTCCTTACTTGTTTTTTTTTTTTTCATTTATAATTTGAACGAAATGTCGGTCAAATGACCATCACAACTTCGTTTACATATCTCCACACTCTTACGTGAATTTGTCCCGGTGGACATCGGCTGGAATTTCGGCCATAGTGCGCAAAAATGTTGTCCTCGAAGCCCTCGAGGGGATAGCTTGGCTGGAAAGTTAATGCAATGCATTTGGCTTCAAGAGAAGCCTGTAAAAATTACTTGTCGCAGTTTTTCGCCGAGAAACCAGAAAATGTTTACATTGATATATACATATGATATTGATATATATATAAAATAGCAAAAACTGGTCGACCAAAATGGTACATATTTGGTTCATTACTCGTACAGTTTATTATAAATATAAAAAATAATAATAATAAGAAATACGAAATACGACAAGACTTTTTTGACTACCCAATATTTATCGATTGATTTGTCTACAGTTTGTTTCGACTCAAATATGTGCCACTGAGGTCTTCCTGAATTTTATTCTACGACAATGGGTTCTTTCTTCTTGTTATGTATCATAGGAAGCCTATTGAGTAACGACGTAATCAGGCGTGTCAGTAGGGTTTGCGAATATTTCAGGAGCATTACTAGTTTAGTTGAATAACCTTCTAATTCTGAGTTGTAGCTCGGACAATTCTAACAATACTCCTAATGAACATAAATAATCATATCAATCAATCAAACACCTTATACTCGTATCGTCGTCGTTTTTCTAACGCAAATCATATTTATAATTCGTTTTGAGCTTTTTTAACAAGGCTCATTGTACAACAGTCCTGTTTTATTTGAAAATAACTTTATACCAAACAAACAATCACATCATCTCCCTCTTGTCAATAATTTCGTCTCCGCTTATGCCATATTTACATATAAAAGAATTTCCGATACCCCAAGGAAATGCATGAGTACATATTAATAGTTTTTCAGTGATATCCACAAGCTAAAAAAAAAGCGCAGTTGGTTTTTGAGCGGAAAACGTTACTAGTAAATTAAAGCAAGCAACCAATTGAAGAAGTACGGAAAAGTACTTGAGGCGACATTCATTGGCGGTTTGATTTTATTGATTTTCACAGGGCTACAGAAGTTGTCGTTTATTTCATTTATTTCGCTTCTTTTGCATTTTCACATTTTACAGCGTTTCGTGGTCACGTTTTGTGAGTCAGTTGCGCGTGCGCAATTTCGCCAAACAAAAAACGCTTTGCGCATGGAAAAAGCGTAAAATGTTATGTTGCCATAATGTGGTTGTGGTATTGTTCCCATTTGACTGGGAGGCATGATGCCTTACTAACCGCTGGTCATTGGTGTGTTTACTTACACAGATACATATATCCATAACTATGTACCCAAGTCTAGAAGTAAAGTAGTCAAATATATTTGGAGCTGGACAAATGTATGGAAATATTTGTAGACTTATATTATTTGGAATAACAAGATTTTTTCAAATAGTCATTGTACCCTGAAAAGCGTTTACAATGAAATTTCTAACACCTAGAAGGAAACGACAGAGACTGTATATAACAGGATCAACGTAACGAAAATCGAACTGAAATTTTGTGTACGCTCTTTTCTCCCCAAGAAGCTGGTCAAACGTCGGTACCACCTACATATGTCGGATCACTGTAAGATGCCATACAAACTGATCGACCCAAATCAAGTTTTTCTATAGAAAATAATTTTTTTTGGCGAGATATCTTCACAAAAATTGGTGCTGACACCGTTGATTAAGATACCTCTACTATCTTGAAGAAATTGTGCAGATCGGAAAACTATAACATATAGCTGCCATACAAACTGTCCCGTCTATATTTTCCTACCGAACCTGTTGCACTTCTATTTTCCGAAAAATACCATTTTTATTGCCTTTAATTGATTTCATTCAAATAGAGCGAGCGGCTGTCCTCCCCGGAAGTCTACAAGTACGCGGAGGCGATACATCAACTTACTAATTTGACAAGACGTGTGTAGATGAAATGTCACTTCTAGGCATAAAATGCCACCACCAGCCGATCAGCCGATCAGCCGCTCAGCTGCCAAACAGCACACCGTGAGATCAAGCCGGAACGGCGTGCAATCAAAGAGATTTTTCAGATTTCCGCACGCCCGCAGCAAGATTTTCCAACCAAATTACCATGCATACCTACACACAAACACACGTGCATACAGAGTCGGTCAACGCAATAAATAAGCGCCGCAGTCAACAAGGCGCATACATTGTATGATACACGTTCGGTGTGGAAGTTTGTGTGAGTGCCTATAAACTCCCGCCAAATACAACAATGAAATATGCGCAGGCGCGCAGTCAAAACATTCCGCAAAGTGGTCGAGCGGTCAGCGCCAAGAGGCTTATAGATACCATGCCACTTTTAACCACTTTTACTCTTATTGCAGCAAATTGGACACCAACAACAGCGAACAGTAACAATAGCGACGACAGCAACCGTTTAAATCGCTGACGAAGGATCGCAGCATTACAAAATCTTTGCCGTGGCAAGCTTGACAAGCCAAGCGATGATYGGTGCATTGGTGTTGTTGTTGTTATTGTTGCTGCTGTTGCTGCATGTTTAAATTCCGAAAAACACTAAAACGGGCGTGAAAACGTTGAAGCGCCACCAAGCGCCAACAACAACAGCAACCAAAGCTCATACTTAGCGCACAACATCAACAACACCAATCAGTAAGTCAACAGGCCGACACAATAACGAATCACACTGTGCAACATGCTTAGCAAACGTAGCCAAACAACAAGAACAACCACGCACAGGCCAACGGTTCGGTTGGCTACGGCAGCAGCAGCGAAGCAAAGCAAAACAATGGCAACATGCATCATCAATTCTGGTGGGCAACTATCGTCAAAAGGCATCGGTGGCAACAGTAATTGCCAGACTCGCACATTTTGTGCGAAGTGATTGATTTCCGCAACTAGTATGCGCTAGCCTCCCTGGTGTAGACGTAACGTGAGCTCCGCCAGTGCGTCTGTCTGTCTGTTGTCTGTCTTCCACTGTTTACTGTCCGCTGGTGTCGTTGTTGTGCGTTAGACTTGTTGGTTAACGGTACGTAGGCTGTTGCAACCCATGATGATTATTGTGATCTATGGGAAGCATTTAGATTTACATTGATCGCTTGTTGCATGCCCCATGATGTTGCATGTATCATGACTATCAACACTAAGCAATTGTGTACTACAGTCGCCAGTCGCTTGCTATTCTTCTATTAAATATGTACATAGTGTAAGCATATGTCAAACGGTGTTCTTAGAGTAACGAGGAAGATGATCGTAGATCGTACGAGTTTTCATGGAATAAATAGCAAATTAATTTGCTTCTATAAATTTAGTGTCTTAATCTTATTGTAGAAGCATAAAACATTCCTACACAAAATCTGATTTCATCAGAACTGTATTCAAATAATAATGATACTTATATGTTATATCTTTTTTATTCCTAGATTTAATGCACCCTTAAATATATAGCCTTGATTTGTTCAATGTGTCGCCTGAATAGTGCTTTATCGTCTTTCTTCTTCTGTCCACTTCGTTTGAAAGTCATCTCCTCATCATAGATTTTTTGTGTTTTTTCCAGCTCCTATAATTTTTTTCCAACTTAAGTAACAAAGAACCTGTTCAAGAACTATTGCCTTATTAATTTAAGTTTTTTCATTTCTATTTCTTCATCCGTAAAAAATTTGTTGCATCTATTAGTCATAATATGTAAAAAGGAGACTTGATTAGATTTCCAGTACTAAACAATCCGAGACTGAGTTGAAGCTCACTTCAATATAAAATGAACATTATGACAGCCACTGTATTATCTTGGCGATGGTCTTTCGCTCTATTAAAATAAGCGAGACTGTATTGTAGCATGGGACTGATCATCCCTTTCGGGTTTTCTCACTGATTAACTGACTGACCGACTGAATTGTTCAATTCCGCTTGTTAGTTGCCAGGCATTGTCGTAGCTTGATACTACTTTATATGCATGTAATATTAAACGGTTCATGCATAGTGGAATGAAAATGGAATATCTGTTCTAAAAAGTACTATGAGCAAAAAATAGTAAGACCTTGTGCACAATTTTAAAATTCTTAATTTATTCCTCAAAATCTATGTCGTTCCACTCAAACTAATCCACATTTGTAACAACGTTTTTTCCAATCCTCAACAGAGTTGGTAAAGTCAATTTTTAAAATAGCCTTCAATGCGCGATTCACGTTTAATGTCTTCAATTGACTCAAAACGTTTTCACTGAAGCAGTCGTTTACGTTTGCTGAATAGCCAGAAGTCACACGGAGGCAAATGCGGTGGTCGAAAATTTGTCGAAAAACTCACAAAGAATCAATTCAGTGTGTGACGTTCTGCAAAAACCAAGAGTTAATTCCGGTCTCTTTTTACGAATAGCTTCCCGCAAACAACTCATAACACTCAAATAATATTCCTTGTTGGTAGTTTAACCGGTCGGAAGGCCCCGATAATCGAAGAAAATTGTCAACTTAACTTAGACGTGGTTTTTCGGCTTCGACTCACCTTTGCAATGATATTCGGCCGATTGGTCATCTGTTCCTGGATCGCAAACATAGATCCAATACTCATCGCTTGTGACAATACGTTTTAGTCGGAAAGCACTAATTCACAGAGGTTGGAAAAAATTGAGTGTCTTAAAAAGCTTTTCAAGAGCTTTCAATTTTCTTAGGCCTAAAATTATCTTTAAAAATGGTTTTCACTGAACCTTTCTATATTCCAACGATATTAGTACGATCTCTGACTATTAAACGTCTATTGTCAAGCACCAGTTCGTGGTCAACGCGTTTTAGATCCTCTTTGCATAATTTGTACCAATCATAAACACTTGTTTTCCTTTTCCAACATTCTGAACGTTTTGGCACCAAAATTTTGATTCCGCACACAAAATTTATTGGAACTATATACTTCAGAAAGACAAGCATATACTAAACTCTAATGACATTTTGACATATTTTGATGGTACTCTGACATACCGACCTAGAAAAAAGTATATATCGAGGAATGGATTTTCGAGCTGTGACTCGTCGTCACAGATTATGTTTTTAAAAAATATTTATGCCAAAAAGTCAAAAATACAGCAGTTGATTATTGTCTTTTGTTTCATATCTATCTATCTTAGTTAATTTGTAGTTTCAAACCTTAACATCGTATAAGTCATTGTTGATATTAATGGATAATCTCCTCTGTCATGGCTTCTGCAATGGAATTATGACTCCTATATTCATTCAAACAATCATATCCAACGAATCTCTTATATTCCTTTTCACAAATATAACCGTGGAGTCTGTAGCCGCTCTTTTTGTTTAGGCTGAAGATGGTTGACGTGTTTTCCGACATATTTTGAAGGCATAACCTCAACTAAAAGTTCTCCATAATGTTGGAATTTATACGATATATCAGCGGTGCAACTCACCACAAATTGCGCGCGTCTCCAAGTGGTAATTATTGCGCGTGCACAAAGGATTTACGAAACGAAGACGGAAAGGTCAAAAGGCCGTTGATGTTTAGATGTTGGGTGCTGGTATTATTAATGCCTACATGCAGTTGTTGTAATCACCGCTGTCACTGTTCAAGTAAATGCATCACGAACAGCCATTTGTCCGATTATTTGTTTAAACAAACAGAGGCGCGTGAAATTATGCGCAGCACCACTAACCATACCACCACACAGCTGACATGCAACGTATAGCATTCCTAACCATGTTGAGCGCCAGTTCAACAGTTCAACGGTTCAACGCTGCGCCACGCCACTACTGGGCAACCATCAGCATAGACGCAAGCAAGCTCCAGTCAACGAGCGACTAAATAAAGCGTTATTTTTTTGTTGTTGGTGTTGGTTAGCAAGATGAACTGCTGCAAGAGCTGGCATTGTCCGTCCGTCAGGTAGTCGCATGCGCCATCAGTTCATTATCGCTAATAGGATTTGTGCGCCGTTGATGTTGGCCGCCGCTGCGGTTGTGCTTGCTGCTGTTGCTGTTGTTGATGATCACAGTTCAGCGATGGCAACTGTTTTGGCATTTTATGCCGCAAAATGTTGCACGCTTCTTGAGATGCTTCTCTATTTTTTGCTTAAGTGTATTTTTTTTTGGTTTGTGCTTGCTCATTGCCTTTCTTTCCGCTGGAACAACTCAGTGGAAAATGGCAATTTGTTTGTAGATTTGTTAAGTTAATAACGGTGCAATGCGCGAGCAGACAAATGGACGACGAATGACTCGGCTAGCATGAATGGATCTTATAGTGGATTCAAGATGCCGCAAATTGTAATTTGCGCAAAATTAATGATGTTACATGTTTGATGCGTTGTGGCAAATCATTTTACCCTAGCGAGGATTTCGTTTATGTGTTTCTGTTTTTATTTTTTATTTTGAAATTTAGCAGCGTGCGATCGCATCGTATTGTCGTATGATTGTAGTCTCAAAACACTCAAATTAATAAAAATCATGTAATTCAGCTTTTACTTTCGTTGCATTTGACACGAGTTTACTAATTGTTCGTTCTTTCTCTTACAGGTCAGAGATTTGGTCGAGAAGTGTACGTGTCCATCGCAATTCCCAATGGTACGGGTGTCGGAGGGCAAATATCGAATTGGTGATACGAAGGTGTTAATCTTTGTGCGGGTAAGTAACCATGAACGCAATAAATAATAAAAAAAGAATTATTTTAAATTTAAGATGAAAGATAACGATCGGTGGGCTTGCCACCATATTTTTTGATCATTTTACTTCAAGCTGTCTTATTGCACATTGGGTATAGATCACAAGTCAACTGTTCTGTCCAATGAGGCTAGGTTGTTAGATGGCTGAACTAGAGATTGTACTTAGATTACCATTATAAATGCAGTCCTTTGTGAAGCCATAAAAATAGAACCCCTGTAAATCGCAATTTAGCAAAGCGCCTTGTGGACAATAAAAATTTGCTCTGGCTTTTAATTTCTAGTCCCACCAGTTCGGAGTGATATCATAAAGTATGAGCTGAACGAGACTAACACTGCGTGAAACACATTTGAATGCCAAACTACTTGCTCCAAACCTGGCTCTCACGTGCAACCCAATCTTTGGTGTATAAGTTTCTGCAAACCACCGAAACTGAAATAATCAGAGCGGGCGCTTACCGCAAATCAGCTATTTGTTGAAGAACTTCGCTTTGACGGGGATTGTGGCCAGACGCTGTTGTTGTAGCGGCAGAATTCTGCCGAGTTGACAGCCCTTGGACGGAAAAAAATCTTTGTCCGTTCTGGTTATGGAGATCTGTTTGTCGTGGGAACGAAGGCCAGACGATTATTCACCGGGGTAAATGCCAGGACTCGTGGGCGGAGTCTCTCTTCCATCACGAATACCACATCGAATTTACACTCCTTTATATGGCTACTATGGCAACAAGAATCTACTCGTCTCAGTCCTTGTCAGGGTCGTCATCAAAAGCGGGGTCTCTCGTCCGAGGCTGTTGTTTTCCTTTCATTGGTCACGGTATTTAAGTGGCGAGTTCCAAACCCAGCGAACAACCCTGAGGAGGATTGATTCGCCTTCTTACTTTACGCTTTAGCTCAAATAGAAATTCTTTGGCTAGCGAGAGGATACTTAGTTTAAGACCGGACCGGACCTCAGGAAGCTTTCCTCACTTGCGTGAACTTCTACACATAACTCTATATCCTCCTATCCTACGTTCATATAATAGAAATTATTGGAAATTCGTAATCAAAATGTATTCGCAAATTGAAAACTTTTGCATGACAACTATACATCACTTTAACCCATTTCGAGTTAGTTATATTTACTTATTCATCTATTTATTTACTTCTTTGTTGTTTCATAAAGATCCTACGTTCTCACGTTATGGTACGTGTCGGCGGTGGTTGGGACACCCTGGCCCACTATCTGGATAAGCACGATCCTTGCCGTTGTAAAGCACAGCATCGTTCATCAGTTGCAGCACGCCTGGTGCCACGCACCACCAATCAAACTAATGGAGGCATTGAATTGCACAAAGCACAAGTCATCTATGAGCGGTGAGTACTACACTGACGGAAATATTTATATAATATGTGTGAAATGTGTGAACTCAAAAACATATAAATATGCACATATGTATAGGATTTGTTTATTGCACAAAGTCCACTTAATTTTTGATATGTAATAATAGGCCACCCCTTCCATATGCCAACACTGCCGCAATAAACACGGTGATTTCTGTGATTACTTATAATTTATATTGATTAGTGGCTTATTTGCAAATTGAAATACGAGTATATACCACACATATAGACATATGTATATCTCGCTAACATTAAAATGCCATTTTTATTAATTAATGCAAATGCACTACGGAATTTATTCTTCAAAGCATTAAGCTTGCGGATTGAATTCTCTTTGTCTATGCATACATATTCTCATACACTAGCGGGCACAGAAAAGGCAGTAATATAAATTTTACATATTGCATATTAAAGTAAGAGATTTTTGAAAGCAAACCCTTTGTATAGTTAGTTAGTATACTAGTAATTTATTTATTTTTATTTTATTAACATTTTGCAAAAGTCGCGATACACCAACCAATTCCTTCATTAATGTTTTGCTTACTGTTCATATGTCAGGTGTCAGTAATAAAGTTTAGACACAGACATACTACACAGCTTTGACAGTATTTTATATATACTTTGTATATATAGTATGAAAAGAAATAGATTTATGCTGGCGACACTAGCTGATTGCAATTCTTCCGCCATACACTTGCCACATTCTACACTAAGTAATTGTCTCTATAGAAATATATGTATTTAAAATTTTATAAATTTGACAGTTGTCGCTTTCCCCTTTATGTTTCTTGCACCTCTTTTTTTACATTACCTGCGAACTGAGCTCAGCTCTTGTGTTGACCACCGCTTTGTTTATGTCTGTAACTTTGTTCGTGTATTAAATTTTTTATTGTTAAAAAGGCATAAATTCTACATGCAATAATCGTAATTTGCCTTGACAACTGCTCGATTGCGCTGGAATGTGTCAAATTGATTATTACTCCAGTGAGGTAGGCGCGTAGCCCTCCTGTCAACAACAAATGTCACAATTCGCAATTCTATTACAATAACAACGTTGACAATAATAATTGTGATATAATAGTAATTTCAACACTAAAAGTAATAATAAATAAATGTATATTAAGTTTTGAAGGCCAAGAAGGAAGCGTCGAAGACTCTGCATATTGTAAATATTTTACGCATATAGGTAGGTATATATACATAGGTCGATTTGGCCATGTTCGTCTGTCTGTATAGTTCTTGAGATATCGATCAGAAATTGTGTTTTCAACCATTTCACCCCAAGAGCTGCTCATTTGTCGCAACCACAGATTTCGGACGACTATATAGCTGCCTACAAACTGTTCGAATAAAATCATATCTCCTTAGGCAAAAAGTATTTCTTTGGCAAATTATCTTCACAAACTTTGGCATGTATTATTGGCAAGGATAACCCTACAGTATCCGAAAAAAATTTTCGGATCGATCAAAATATAGTACAAGTACATACTTATGCAATGATAACTGGTCACTGTCTGAGGCTGACAGAACGGAAAGACTGTAGGAATGTCTACAGCAAGGCACCAGAGAAACAACAGAGCATCTCTTGTGCACTTTTCTCGCATTGGTAAGACTAGGTTTTAAGTATCTGGGTCCCTGCGGTATGATTCACTGGATAGTGAGGCCGCAGAGTCTGTTAAAATTCGCGTCAAGCCTACTGGATGACTACTCCTCTTGGTCTTAGCAACCGAACTCCATCTTGTATCTCAAAGAACCAAACTGGTCTATGCGTGGCTTATTGGCCTACCAGATTAATCTAACCTAACCTATGGGGTTAGTATCTATTGGTAAAATAAACGTTCAAATTTCCGTATGCGAATACCCGAAATGTGCAATGTATACTAAATAAAAAAATTCCTAATCTATATTGAGTATCAAATTGGAAGTCATTGAAGATCAGTGTACATATTACCCATATTCCCAAAGCGGTTACTTCAAAAGAATATAACAGTCAGTCAGCTCGGCTTAAGGCCTTGTAAGTATTAAATATTCTCGATTGCTCGTTAGAAAATGAATCAACGCGTTGATATTTATTGAAGCATGCCGCTTGCATAATTTCACAGTTATTCAATTACACAGAAGGAATTATAAAACAAAGGCAATGAGCCGTTGTAAAATCTTTTAACACAGAAAATACATTATTGAGACCTAATGATATACACATACGTATGTACTATATATGTATGTATTTATATTTAATGCGTTTTTCATCAAAAATACTCCACCGACGATATTTACATTATTCTGTTAGTTCTTGGGTTTGTTAGGACTTGGTATAGAATATGTACAAGTATGTTACCCTGACCGTATGTAATCAACTACCAATTCTTAGTATCATTTAATAATACACCAGACTTTTTCCAATAAAGGTATATAAATAACCTTCTGTTTAACATTTACCAGCTCACCGCCGTCGACTCGCAAAATTATTTCCAATTTCAATAATCAGGCTGCCGGCAATGGATTCGCAACATCATCGCCTAATTCCAACAATAACTCATACAATTTGTCACCCAATTTCGGCAGTAATAATAAGCAAACCAGTCGCAGTCCCACGCCTCAACGTAAGTTTTTTAATCATCACAATACTGCGAATGCAACAGATGGCGCCGTTGGAGAAAAACTACTAACAGCAAATGGCACAAATGGTACTTCAACATTGTCGCCTTCGACAAATTTAGCACGTCGTTCCATGTCGCCCAGCCCGCGCCGACTTATGGATATGCGTAAGAAGCAGAGCTCGTTGGATTCAAGTAACGGTAGTGGTCCCAAATCTCTGCCAATTTGCAGTGAAACCGCAGGCAATCATATACAATTTGATGGGCTCAACTATACGGCTGGACAAGCTGAGAATGGCACTACGACGCAAGTAGGAGCCGGCAACACGGATGCCAGCGCAAATGGCATAAACAATAAATTCGAAAATATCAGTGACAATGGCAGTGAAATCAGTGATGAGGGCTATCGTAGTCTGGGTGTGATACAATCAAATGCCCAAAAGCGTGAGTCACTGCACAGTCAGGCTTCGGTGGAGGACGCTGAAAGTAATGGTAAGATGAACTCAACACATATTTTCTGCACTTAATTTGAATCTAATATTCGTTATTAATTACATTTCAGCGCGTCTTGATCAGACCTCCAGTGATTCACAACTATCACCAGTCGATGATTTGACCATATCTAACAAGGCAGTCGATATACTTGGCTCCGACTTTAATAGCACACCCATAGAGCTGAATATTGATGCTGGACCGCAGTCATTGCCAGCTGTGCTCACCACACCGGCACAAAATTTTACGCAAATGAATCTGGCAGATAGTTTCGAACAATCAGGAATCTTTATAACCGATGATGAAATCACTGTTGATGTAGCAAATGCCACGGGTTTGCGCAAAACTGGATTTGCCAACAAAATTTTCGGCGGCGATGATGTTACCGATAACAGTGTCCCAACGAATAAGGAACCAAAAGATAATAATGCGAGTAAAAGTAGTAAAATACCACGCTCGCCAGTAGCGCCGCGCCGACGTAGTCTAGATAACAGCAATTGCAGCAGCGCCAGCATGCAGGACATTTCGACGCGTACCGGCCTGCCGGTTTTCAACCGCAAACAGCCCGTTTACCGTTCCGTACGTCGTCCGGCCACCGAGATCAATAGGAATAGTGACAATGTATCCGCCGCAGCAGCGACACGTAAATCTACAACGCCACCCGTGCGTGAGGTCACAAACACTTGGAGTGGACGCGCCGCAGCCGGCAAAAAGCGCCCAACACTCAATGCCGACACCTTCACCGCCCACAATGGTGCTGCAACACCCAGCAGCGGCAATGCCTTTGAACGTAACACACGCACACGCTCCTCTCAGATACTTTACGACAGCAATGGACGTCGCGTACGCGGGTGCACCGCCTCACTTACTACATCGCCGGTAAAGAACTACAATACATCACCGCTGGCGCAACAACTACTCGAAGCTGCCAGCAGCGCCAAAAATGATGCACAAATTTTAGAAAAAATGAAAGTATTACTCTCACGCTATTCCAGCAACAGCAATGCTGGGCCCAATAACAGCGTCACAAGCGCAAGAGCAACAGCTGGCGGCAACAGTAACAATAAGAAGCCCGTCTACGAGGACTTCACATCAGCCTGGGTGCACAGCAATGGCAATCTGGAACGTTCCAACAGCTGTTCGCCTCCCACAAAAAGTCTCTCGAAACGCAGCTCGGCCGCCTCCTCCACGGAGAGCACACAATCGCGCGAGGTGGCATCGGTCATTGTTTCGCCGCGACGCGATCGCGGTTTATCCAAAATTCCAGCACCGACACGACAACACACCGAGCTGTACTAACACACGATGCAAATGCCCGCCAGGCTGCGCATTCAGCAGAGGGCAATAATGTTGCAGCAACGAAAAAGACAAGTGTAAGAAGTGTTTGGAGTAGTGCTGGTAGCGGAAGTACCTAAGCATTTTACCCCTTAACGTTATCCATGTATGTCTCTAGGTAGTTTTGTAGTTTTCTAGGCAGTAGTGTGAAATTTTGAAATGAAAAGTAAGTTTTTTTTCTGGTTATAGCCACCGAAAAAAGAGGTTAGCTATAATTTTTATACGAAACTAATTTTTATATGACATTAATTTTATAACTGAACTGTAGGAAGTGTTGGCGAAAAGTATATAGAATTTCGGTTTTAATTTTTGAGTTTTTTTTTTTTACTCATAGCTCTTCTTACAACGTACAGTAAATGCAACTGTATTCTTTTATATGAATTCCGCTTTTGTTTGCGTGGATAAAACGCTTAACCGTACTTCTATGTTAATTTTTATTAGCAATGCGTACGCCACGGCGTGTACTTATCGCGGAGAGTTTTGAAGGAAAAGCTGTTCTAACGTCAGTGATGTGCAATTATGACAAACGGAACACTATTAAAATCAAAAGAAGATAATTTCAAAATTTTATACAAATTAACGGAAATATTTTATTTTGTTGAAGCGTTTGCACTAATTGTACATACCATATATTGTTGTATGTATGCAACTGGTATATTATATAAAAAAATATATAACTGTCACAAATGCCTAAAAAATAAATATATATATATATGTATGTATACCAAAAATAATTTACAAACACATGTTCAAAACAGTATTTTCTTTATCTACATATACCAGTCACAATTAGCATAAACCAACGGTATCTGCCACAGCGTAATTCATAGTTTTCCAGGAGCTTAGCACTGACAGCTTGAAACTGACAATTTGACGGCAATAATATGTATTAAACTGTAATAATAAAAATGAGAAATATTGTAAAAATATTCTATGAGGATTTCACAACAAATTCGAGGAGCGAAAAATAGAGGCTGGCAAATTAATTTATAATTTAATTTACTTTCGACAATACTAGTAGATTATAATAGAGTGTGAAATATGTATGAACATACATACTATATATGTATATATTTTTTATTTATTTATTTTATTTTAATTTTATTTTTTTTTTTAATTTTATATTATTTATATTTCTTTTAGTTTCTTATTATTTATGTACTATGKCTTCCTTATTTGAATAATAAATATGGTGTTTGTTGTGAATTCCCCTAAAGTGAGTGCAAAGAACAAGATGTCGGCTACTTTAAACCGAAAAAATACTCGTAAATGCATACATATGTATATACCATGTATAGATAAATATGTATACAGTTCCATAAAATTAAAATATATCACAAAGAAGCACTTTTTCTGACCGCAAATGAGATTACTAAAATAAAATATTAAAAAAACTAAAAAAATATAATAATATAATAATAACTGCATACAACAACATCGCTCATCCATTAAAATTCTAAATCATATTAAACACCAATTCCTTATACGTAGTAACAAAATGCAAATAACATAAGAGAAACCAAAATGTATAACGTAATGTAAAGACAACAGTCCGGATCATGATAACCTCAAAATTTACAAAGCTTTTTTAAATTGTAGTCACATAAAGTTTAAGACTCTTAATCCAATTTACATAATGACAGCATAGTGAGTGCAATTTTAAAGCCAGTAGTGGGCATACATACATACATATATAAATGAATAGATTTTAAATAAAATAAAAAATAGTTTTCTAGAAGTTTTTACAACCAAATATAGAGGAAGAAAAAAAGCAATTATTAAATAAATAATAAGTAATGGTAAATATTTTTGTAAATTCACACAGACACATGAGCAATTGAGTATCAATGAAAAATGTATGTATATATATATATACATATATACATAACAGTAACATCAGGTATGTTAAGTGAAGTTGCTGAAAAATTTTATAATTTTTGCTTTGTCGTAAGGACTTTGCATGAATGCACGCGCCACAAAGTAACAATTAATCAGTTATTGTAAATAAGCTTAGCGAAATAAATGTAAAAAACACAATATTTAGTAAATACGTCATAATAGCGACATATGAGAGACGTATGAGAGACGTATTTGTGTATTTGATGACGTAATAGTAATAAAAAAATACTAATTTAAATTTTTTTGTTGAATACGCGTTTGAATAGTCTTAATTGCGTTATATATGCATTTATAGGAAGAGCTCGATGTTTTTTTCAAATAAAATTTTCATTTAAATCAAAGCCAATTTACCTTTGTCAATTATTTTTTCCCGTGAAAAAAGAATTTTATTAAAAAAAAAATACCTATTTGCCGCTTAACACAATTTTAATAAAAACTATTGCACTTAACCACATAATGGAAGAATTCGATTCTTTTTTTTTCAAACAAAATGTTCATTTAAAAGCCTGTAACATCTAAAAAATCTAATCACTTACTTTCGTTAATTAGTTTTTCCGTAGAAAAAAAATATACTCTTGCCTCTTAACACAATTTTAGTAAAAATTGTAAAAATATCGTCCTTTTTCCGAAGCATATACTTAAAAACACGAATAAAATTAACTATTACTACATACAAAACACATACATATACATTATATATAATATAAAATTAATTATAAATAATTTAGCAAATATGCTTTTGTACTTCTGTCTATGTACATATGTACATGTGTGTAAACACGAAAATCCAATACATAATCACTTTTATTGCAAGCGTTGCAAATTTTTGGTGCTTTGTGCCGCGGTCTTTTATCCAAAGGCATGTTAACTACTTTAATGTACTAAATGAAATAAAATATAATTTATAAACGCATTAGTTATCAAAAATCTAGCAAAGTATCTTTACTATGCAAATATGTAAATGAAAATAAAATCTTTGTCAACTATCAAACTCAAAACTTTCAGTTGCTCTAACTAAATGCTTAATATGCATATTTTTTTTACAAAACTATATATTTTTTTATCTATATATTTATTTTTTTGATAAACTCGAAGCATATTTTTGTTTACTATCGAAAAATATATTACATTCACTATTATTCGATTTTGAGCGCAGATATGCTAAGCCGGCTTTTTAAATATTTATAGCAGATGTTAAATATACCTATCAAAAATCTCACTACAAACAGACAAGTTATGAGCAAGCCTCTAAAACTACCATAAACTTAAAAAATAAATTGTATATAATTTGTAAAAAAATATTTTTTCTTCTCTTCTTAAACCATTTTTCTCAAATCCAGAAATTCGTAATTACATATACAAAAATACAGCTTGGTATGTATGTCTGCTTTTGCAATAAACTAGATTCAATTGTTAACAAAAAAGTAAGTTTAAAGAAAAATGGAATTAAAAATTCAATTTATACATAAGAACCCTTTGGCTAATGTATACGTACCAAAATATGTATGTACCATGCTAATTATTTAATTTTTTTTATTATTATATACAAATCTTTTCATGTTATTTAACTTGTTTCGCATTAAATAATAAGTGTACAATTATACAACTCCGTTATTACTTTCAATGTGTGTGTATATCAAAATCATATGAACTAATGTATTTTAAATGCATCTAAAATTTATTAATTGTGCATGCTGCATACGCGTGTATGTGGGTATGTATGCGTGTCACCGTTTACAATTGTTTCAATTCGTTGAAATTGAAGTTTTAATTGTATATAAGTTTAAGCAAATTACACTGGTTGATACATTATAACAGTAAAAATAAACATAAATAAATAAAAAATATAATTAAAAACAAACAAAAAATCGTTTTATTGAAAAAGTGTTTTTATAACCTGTACAGGGTATGGTTAAGAATGGTTGAGTTTGAAAGTAATGAAGTGCACTTGCTACTCCCGACTTTCACAAACCATTTCGTGGTAAAACTAAAACTGAGAAGAATTCAACAAGGGCTTCCACAGAATAGTGTCCTCTCCACGTTATTGTTCAACTTCTACATGTCGAAACTCCCGCAACCATAAGAGGGAATTTCTATCACCTTGTATGCTGTGCTCAAAGGCATATGGCTCTCTCTCCAATCTTTCTCGCTTGCTCGCTGTACGGAACTTAGCACTCTACCTTCTCACGTTGGTCCGACTACGTCGAAACAGCACGTTTCTTGGGCCTACCGTTGGATGACGTCGGCGACAACTTACCTAATCCTTACCATCCTAACGGGTATTAGGTATCCGTTACAACAATAACAACAAGTTTGTCATGAAGTTTGTGACATTTAGAAGGAAACGGAAATCCTATAAAGTCTATATAAAAGCTTTATATACAATTAATATACTTATGACGCTATCATCTTCAGAGAATGCATACAAGACAGTACCTTATTAGAGTGGTATGTATAATCGCTAACTTCCATACTACCAAGTTTCGTTGTACTCATTTTAGACCAGTTACACCATCGTGAATAACTGTCAAAAATTTAAACACATTTTTTTTTTCATTATATTTTAAACTACTGTTTTCTAAAACTTTTTTGTGGCATGAAAAGAAGAATATCTTTCCCTTTTTTAAATTACTTAACCACTTTTAGCATTATCTTCATATAGATAGATATATGTACTTATAGAATTTAATTTATTTAGGCCCAATTGTCAGTTCTAACCAAAACTCTTATATAAGTGTGTGTTATCTCTTTCCTACATCGAAGGACTTGCGAGTTACACAGTGCGTATGTGTTAGTTTCAGGGTTTTTACTTTCAATGCATTGGTCGGTGACCACGACTTGTTTGGAATCTAAGAACTTTTGGAATTAGCACAACAAATATAGATATACTTATGATTAAACTTACCTATTAAAAACTTACAGATTAGAAAAATTTTATTTCTACCAACTTTTCGAGAGATTAGAGTTATTACTAATACTTAGTTTTTTAATTACTTCATTTTTTAATATTTATCTATTAATAACAGGCCAGTCGTACGATTATTTCCAAATCATCTGTACGTATTTATCGATATATAATCGATAATTGTTATTCTCTCAAAAATAACATAAACTTGTCAACACTATTCAGTAATGCTAAGTAAACAACAACAATTTAAGCAATGTGTCGTCTCTTTCCTACCTCACGTCAATCGGAAGGCAAAAGTTGCAACACTATATAACTTGTCAGTGTCCAGAAAGTAAGGACAAATGTGTGCGTGGTTGTGATGTTCAATTATCAAAATGTCTGACTTAAATTTGAAGTAAGTGAATTTTCCGTGAATTATTTTGTAAATATTTACTACAAATCTAAATATTTTACAAATATCTATTGCAAAATCAAGAAGTTAAATAATATATTCTGTGTTAAAATTTAAATATTTTGTAATAGATGTAGTAAATATGGTATTTTCGTGTTTGAAATCTTCACTGTTGGGGGTTGATTTTCGCCACATTGAAATTGCAGCTGTTGAAATTTTCATTAAAAAATGTATTTTGTATTTCTTATAGCGATGATTTATTGAACTATGAATTGGGTGATGATATTGATGATCAAGCACTTTACGGTGCCGATGAAGATGAACTCCTATTGTCAGACGATGGTAAGTGATTTTTTTTTTTTTAACATATACATATTAATGCACATTTAAATAATTTCATCACTGTGTAGAATTAGAAAAAGAT